TCGTCATGTTGCTGCCCCCGTTACCTGCCACCTCGTCGCACTGTCAGCAGATTCCTCCGTCTACGTATATATTTTTATATGGGTCAGGCTACATGGTTGCGACCGTCGAGCACTTTACTAGCTTTACATTGTCGTCGTACTTAACCAAATGAGCGAGGGAATGAGAAGGAAGAAGAAAATTAAGGGAAAAAAGTTTGGAAAGATTTTCCCCAGATTCCATTCACATTCCTTTTCCACCAAGACAGATATGAAGATTGGGACATCACTGTGGGAGAAAAATAAGAAAACTTCAACCTCCCTGCTTTCCTCTTCATTATTCAAGGGAGGCAATCAAGAGGAGGAGGAGGAGGAGATTTCGCTGGATTGACAACCATGCCAAGTTGCGCCATTTTCACAATAACACTCCTGCGAAAAACTTGCGAAGCGTGTTAAATAGAGGAAAACCAAGTTATGTATATGAAGTTACATGTATACGCACGTTAGCAAAGTCAGTAGGACCCACCAGCCAACTAGTGACTAAACAAGTCACAGAATTTATCCCCCTTTTCCTCCGTCCTGTGGAATTTGTGTTTTCATTCCATCCCGATATTGGAGGCAAAGAGCATTCTCGTGTAATGATTAATTTTTGTTTTTTATTTACCTAAGCGCATATGTCACTCATATCAACCCAAAGTCAAAAAATCTTTCCGACAAAGCCTCTCACAGATTAGATAGATCAAAATAAGACTCCAACCCAGCAAGTTATTAGGCCTCTCAGCATTATAATCACATGGCCAACTAGGAAACTCACTTTAACTGAATAAATTTTGCACTTTTTCTAAATATAATTATCATTTCTTTCGGCACCACTTTGTCCAAAATGGAAAACACCGTCAAACATTTAATTACAAAGATGGCTTCTTTATGTTCACCTCTAATGGAAAGAATGCAACCACTACTAACCTGTGTTGCATATTATGCATTAGGCTGTATGGCAGGCTGTGTGGTATTAATGTGCATTTTATTCACTGGTTGTCACCCATTTCCGCTCTCTGTGGATTTATTATCCTCAGAAAGTATACCCAACTTTCTCCAACTCTTCCCAGCCTCGTTCTACTCCCGGTGTAGGCCAAATCCAATAAAAGTGTCCGAGTTGGATTGAATTACTAAACGAAACAACTCGCCCCTTAACCACAACGTCCACGAGCGTGTGACATCTAAAACCATAAAATTTGTGATGCCAAATCAACCAAATGGTATTAAAACACGTTACAAATCAGCTGTGGGTGCAATCATCTTGCGTAGTTAATAAAAAAATAAATCGAGTGGTGGAGTTGCTTCCTACGTAAAGTTACATAAATAGTTATAGTTACGTAAATGCATGATCCACCTTTGTTTCACTGTTGTTATTTGCTTTGGTCAGTTGCCTTGCCAAAGGTTAAGTGCCTCTCTCTCAATTTTGTACGCGGCCAGCCAGCCAGCTCTCCGCACAATCAGATAACACACACACTTTGCCATCACCAGTGGGTAGACGAAGTGATGGAGAAAGTAGGAAAAGTGGCTCAAATGTGCACTCCTTTTACCCTTCTCTCACCTCGCAATTTATTTTATCAAATCCTTCCTCTTTCACGCCACAATCTTCTGGCAAGAGCTATGGTACATAGGTATAAGGTACATAGGTGGGTAGCAGGTCTAGTTGGCTGCACGACTGCTTATCTACTACTACACCTTTCACTAGGTGTTTCTAATTATTACAACGCCAAACACACACCATTTCTCTTCTCGAAGCTTGTTTTTTTAAGAAAACTACAGGATGAAGTAAATTAACTTTGTGCTCGTAATTTGATCACCAACTTTGTCAATTGATATAGAAGAATAATAAAAAAAAGTGTCAGGTAGGATATAGTTGTAGGATTGCTACGTCGTCTCGAAATGAAATGCGAACGATTGCATGCCGCACTAAACGAATCGACCGTAGAATAAAAACCTGTACCATTTTCTCACCTTAAATAAAACTGTTTGCTGAATGTAGCCATAAAAAAGGAAATAAAAATGGCAAAAATATCGCAATTTCAACTCCTACCTCTGGTATTATTGCTTCAATGTAATCAAGCAAAGGCAGGGCTTGTGATCATTAAATAAATGGCAAAGTGTTGAGGTATTATTAGAGTAGAGTGGTCAATCTATTGATCCCAGAGTATTGTAGAGCATTTCACTCCATTGTGTTTCACCAAGCAAGCAACACTTTCACTCGTTCCAAACACATTTCTAACCAAATGCAGCCAAAACGACCCCCAAACATTTACAACAACATGCGAGAAAGAAAAATGACATTCTCTACCCACCACCGCCACACATCCCACACCCACCGTGCATTCATGACCAGTAAGCTTTGAATATATGGTTTCTAGTTACTTACACACACAATGCAGCCTTCCGTCCGTCCGACGATATGGCGGATGTAGAAGAACATTAATTCAGAGCCACTTTGGTAAATAAAAGTGGATTCATCCTTCACTCACCCACTCGCGCACACACATAAAGAAATAAATTGACCAAAGCGAATTGAAAACGACTTGAATCCCTGTGCAAACACGAAACAATGCTCGAAAGAGGACAACTCACCACCGCCACGTTAAGTCTTTAAGTCCTCCTCACAGACGATGAATGGAATCAGTGGCAGAATGACAAGGACGAAATGAAAGTGAAACGTGGGATCAACTCCATTGATGAAAAAAAGTGAGTCAACGCTAATAAATATTTCTAAAATACTTTCTCCCCGCTGCCACATCTACATATAAACTATGATTGTTTTCCATCTAATGGCGAGATTAGCGAATGGAATATGTGCGTACGTAGCTGTTTGAGGAGTAAATCAGAAATATACGTACGCCGGCCAAACTTTTGAACTTTAGTGAAGGTAATTTTGCCAGGCGGAGTAAATTGCAGATTTAATCATGACATTATTATGAGAAATAGGAAGAGGGTGAGTGAGTTAAAGCAATCAAAGTAACGTTGTATAAAGTCAACAAATCCAGAGTAACGGTGTAGCCAGTCGAGTATGTAGCAGGAGAGTTGCCATTTGTGTTTCGGTTCCACTTAACTTATTAAAACTTTACGACTTTATGTAATATACAAAATTACAAGTTTATACTGACTATAAAAACGATTATAAATCTGGTCAAAAATTTCCATGTTGCTCAATCTCACATCTGAGGAATACCAACGAGGAGGTAGAAAAGATCCTGACATGACAAAAGGTAATAAGAAATGGAGAGTCATGATACACAAGTGAAAGCTGAAAGGTATTCCACGTGTGTGCGATACGTACGGTACGCACTGGGTGCATACATTCATCCGTAAAGTAAGTATGCAAAACAACATATTCTAAACACGTAGTGGTGGCAAATTAACAAAGTTAATACACGAATTAGACAAAGCTTGGTGAAATGTAGATCGGTTTGGACTTGGGGTTCACCCACTTTTCCGCTTCCTCCTAAACAACACAACGTCAGTATTGTTAATTGCGAGTGACGCCTGCTGACCAGATTTTATCGGAATTTGGACCCTATGAAATGAAAACATATCGTGTACTTTGTTAAAAATGCATTGAACCTTTCACTCGCTGAGGTGTGGTGTAGGCAGGGGCTGGGCCTGTAGTATTATTATCTAATCACATAATTGATTCATAAGTATGTAACTTGAACCTTTCCCTCCGGAGAATTAGGTCAGCGTCATGTGAGCCGTTTTGCGACGACGACGACGACGACGTGACTACCAGTTAGAACCGGTGGACGGAGATGAAAAAATAGGGAAACGGAAGTTAACTCCTTATCTTTGTCTTTCCCTCCGCTCTCAAGGACCAAGTTAATCTGCAGCGTCTCTCTGTCTCAATGAACCAAGACGACTTAATGTATTGATAAGATTCGATTCAACCCAGAAGAGGATATCAATGTATCAATAACTTTCCCTCCCAATCTTCATCTCGCAATGTTATCACACATCCCGTATTCCGGCTGGACAAAGAGCATCTTTTTCAGGTCATCTCATTTCATTGTTTGTAACTTATTTCATTTAGCCCTCTGTCAGCCGACGTTCCATATCACGAGAAGATGACGCCAACAAACAAAGTCCACCAACAACTAACTCGACGTCAACCAGGAGAAAGTTTCCAAATAAATAAACCTCGGAATAAGATAAAGCCTCGTGTTCCTTTTTCCTCCTCCGCCGCGAGAGAGAGAGAGAGCGAGATGATCCAACAAAAGGATGTTGAAAGGGCTTGAGAATCGCTTCATGGAGGAAAAGAGAGCGTTTCTTCAGACAATGAGATGATATGACAAAGGTAATCTAATGGAATCACCTCGTCTTTCCTCTCCTCAGACTTAGAAGAAATCTCCTTGACTCCCAAAGACGCTGCTGGTTCTTCTTCTTCTTCTCTCGTCTATCATCAAGTGATAAACTGGCAAATGCCTCCTTGCCGGGCTTAACCGAAAAAATGAGGGAACAAGAAGACATTTCTACGTCGTAGTCGTAGTGAAAATACGGTTAGTTAGAGACCAGTCTTCTGAACCACGTGTGTCGTACTGAACCAAGTTTCGCAGCCACAGGATCTCATTTTTACTTAATACGATAACAAAAGTGGGCTATCAAGGGGAATCTTGCTAATAATTTTCTCAAATAGAAAGTACAAAGGATGCACCGCCAAGGCCACGGATGATGTCACCTAGTTTAAATTAGCCACTTGAAGAAAGGCTCCGTCTCTATCTGAATGTGTCCTCGTTCCAAATGGTCATCTCACCATATTGTACGAGTCAACGCCGACCATGAATATACTTATTCACACGTTTCGCAAATTGCAGTTTTGCAGTTGACGTGACCTTTTCTGTTTTATGTGGAGATGTTTTTGGGCATTATTTTCCTCAGGTACGTATGATTTAGTATTTTGTTTATGTGAACATATAATTTGGGCGTTGTTGAAAACCCACGACTAATAATATTTAATGAAGGTCATTTTCACTTACCAAACCAACTTGGTTAATCGGAATCCGATCGGGTTGAGCACGTTCGAAACTAATGCATTCCTGGCCAGATCCAAACGCCAACCACCGAGGTGAACTTGACAGCGCCTTTTTGCATGCGGCTCGCACCGTGCATCTGCAATTGACACAAGAACAGTTTAAAATAAGTAAACCACACCAAGATGGCAAAGCAACCATTCACAATAAATCACGCCGAGGAGCATGTACTTTAAGCAGATATGGAAAATGTACAAGGGTACAATAAAATTTTACAACGTTTTTAAACTTTTACAACCGGAAAATCATTCTAAAATAAGTGCCAATGAAGCACAATGTCCAATGTTCTCTGCTCCATTTGAGGAGAGGGGAAAGTTGGTGATAGTCAACAGTCGCAGAGAATGAAACATGTCAAGAATTTTATTTTATCGCACTTCTCCCGGGTGGATATTTCATTTCATAATCCATTCACTCCCAACTTTGTAAATTCTTTACAACCCTGACCATCAACTTTACTACTACTTTACAAAGTCCCTGCATCTCTTTCCGGCTACTTGGACTTTTTCGTCCTGCTCCTCATACTACCACGACTGCACATCGTGAATTCTGACAAAATTGGAATCAGATCTTGGAGGGGAAAAAGGCGCATATATCCGTGATACATATACATTACTCCTTCTGCTCAGCCAATATTGTCCACCCTTACAAATATATTCCATATAAATGTATGGCTAGAAGTGCGACCTTCAGCAAAAATTAAATATATGCGTTGTTTCCCGTTTGACAGGCACGAGCAAGGGATAAAGGTTGCTATTCTTTTCCTACTTTCGCTGTCTCATTCCATGCACCACGAGGAGAATGGTACAAATATGTATGGGTGATAAATGGGCCAGATGAAACTTCTCTAAGGGTTGTTTTTTTAAATGTTTGTCTAGATTAGGAATCATGCGAGACAATACAATTTATTAAATTGCTCCATTTTCAGCAAGCAATAATATAAGTGCATATTGGCAAGATTTCACTGCAGCACGGGACGACAATGGGGAATGGAGTAACCATATTGTATTGATAACCAGTTTGCGATAAGAATATCTTGGCCTGGAAGAGGAGGAGATGATTGTCTTTCAGCATCGACTGTTGGAAAATTCATCGTCCCCTCCACGAACGAAATATCTGAACGATCAGTCATCATTAGAGCTAATTAGGCCCACACAGAGAGAGATCTAACATTGCACCCAGTAGACCAGAGTAAACAAATAAGATTAATTACAAATGAGGCGAATTCAGGGACTGGTTACCAACTGCAAATTTTCAGTTGGTTTGAGACCAAACAGGAAAATGGGGTTTAAGCCGTTGCTGCTGGAGGCGATCTCACTCACAGAGTCTGCACAAATATATGGAAAAGGAAACTGGGCAAAGTTCTGATTAATCGTTATTCCCTAAATGGTGAAAAACAGACATTATGAGAAATTGAAGTGAAATCCAAAATTAATCAGGCTCATTTGCATTGGGATGAAATCAGGAAGCGATTAATTCACGAATGAGGAGAGAAAACATTTAAGGAAATTTACGCCATTGTGCAATTTAGTGATTGTCTGAATGAATGACTAATTGCTCTGTTCCTTCTCCTTTTTCGACTTACTACTACCTGTTCACAGGCAGGCAGAGATTCAATTTATCGGAGGAATAACTTTTCGAGGAGGCACACGCATGTACGCAGAGGGCGAGAAAGAGAGATAGATTTCTTGGTGGTCTACTTATCTACTTGCCCGAGGTGCAAAAAAGGTGGTCCTTTGTGCTCGATGGTTAATAGCACCTGATTTAAAGACCTTACAAGGACAGTGATACGAATTACGAATTAATGGCAAAATGTCAATGCCTTTTATGCATATCGCGCTCTGAAATCCACTCCCCCACTCTCCATCGATGTCCACCAACTGCTCAACCGATGCGGCAGCGGCGGTGGTACCACAAAAAAACTCTGAACATAACCCTCAATCGTTATTCATAATCACGCACATTATCAAATCAATTAAAGGTTTAACGACTTGTATCCTTGATTCCCGTCCAAAAACTATTATCGTTTATACAGGAAAAGTCGGTATTTATATAATGTACAATTAGCATAACTAATAAGCAATTGATTTCCAAAATTGCACTTTTGCCCATTATTATTTAGCGTAGGCCATCATTATCTACTCCAATCTTCTGCTCGTACATAGTTATTTTTTATCTCTCCTTCATATTTGCTGGTTTAAGGTAATATTACCACCTGTATGATTACACGTATTGGTCTAGTTTTGCAACATCCGGTCGTCTCTGTGTATGAATATGTTTAAACCCGCCGACAAAAATCAACAAACTCAAGAATTTGAAATAATAAAAATGAGAATAAAAACTGGGACTTTCCCACCACGCCACAACTCCATGAGAGAAGACGTAGCCAAAAAAATTTATTCAGACCAATTTACATTCTCTCCAGCCAGTGTACGAATTCAGCAAAGTGTAAACCAACACAGCCTCCCACTCCAGGCTTATTGAATAATGTATCTAACAAGAACAAGACACATTTCCCACGAAAACCAACCAACTCTTCTCATCTATGCTATATCCGCAAAAAAGTGGAAATGCAATTTTGCCATGCCCACGCTTTCTCATAGCTTCACACAGTAAGCACAGCAAAGCAAACACAACTTGCCATATTCGTTCATGGAAAAGAGAATCATTGAAACGTAGCCACAAGACCGAAAGGAATATCAATGAGGGGAACAAGACATCACCATGAAGGAAGACGAAAAATGCAGTGAAACGTGGAAGTAAAAATAGTAAAAATACTCTCAATTTTATTTACTCACTCATACCTACAATTCTAGGAATATCGTCATATAAATTAGACACGAAACTCAACCCTGCCCGTATCCATACTCGCAGATAATGCACACACACGAAACTAGGGCAGGATAAAACATGGCGATTTCACTTTTAAACCGCAATCTCTCCGTATAATGTCACCAACACGTAACCAGCGAGGCAAGTTATATGTACAAAGTTCGCTTTGCTATATACATACATTATTGCACTGTTGAATCCCAAGTATTTTCCCCACAAACGATTTTTATCCAGTACAAATCTGCTAGAAAGCAACTCAATAAGAACACAGAGATTCTGAGCTTGACAAGAACAAAAATGTGGTCACCAAACGGAGCGGTTGTCATGTCATGCGGGTTGACCACCGTGAATTGATGACATTCCTTTCCGCCCGTTTTCCTCTCGAGACAGAAAGGAAAGTTTCATTTGAGGAAATCCGTCAGAATTTGAAGAGTTGGCCCGTGCAAATTCTTTTCTTCCTCGTTCGTCTCTTCCAATTAGTGGACATAAACCGGATTGTCATCCGTATACATACAGATGTACGTACGTACAACACATCTATAGCGAGTTAAAATTAGCTGGTTTGGTAGGAAATAGGTAAAAATTTTGTGGAGAAAGTTTGCGAAAATTATTAGAGCAAGCACAATCGAATTTGCTCATTCAGTGCAATGGCCAACTTCTTGACGGAACTGGAATTACGTTACTCACTCTTAAGATTAGTCAAGTATTCTCCTTATCTTTCTCCACATTGCGGTGTTATACATTTCTGCTAGGTTTGTAATGAACCAACTTATTTATTCCCTCCCATCTAAACTTTAACGATAATTAGGTTAATAATTTAGAATTTAAATTCTTTAAAAAATACATATTCGGGACTAAACTTGGGAATAGAGTTACAACAAAATCAGTCAGTTATTTCAAATATCTGACCCTACAACCAAATTCATAATGAACGTACAATCCGTAAAAGTATCTGAATTTATCTGATGACCCAGATTCGAAGTGGCAATGCAAAAATCCCAATGACCGCATTAATAAATGATGCAAAATATACTAGTAAATATTCAGATCCCGCAGTTCGCTACCCTCTTCTGCACATACAGACAAACTTATCAGAGCAGAAAGAAATTAAGAGAAAACAAAAGAAAGAAAGAAACGGGTTCCAAGGCACATCCGCCTCCGTCTGCGAATAGCAAGTCAACACGACGACTCGTAATGAGCTACTTATTCTTGCGATAAAGAATTTACCCAGTCGGGAAATAGTTCAAAAACGAAAATAAAATGAAGACACAAAATTATATTTTTAGTGGGAAACAACTCTAAATTATATAAATTTTAACTTATTCGAAATTTTTTAAAAACAGACATAAGGAAACAGCAACTGAAATATGGTATGATTTTTTACAGTTTATACAGCAAACCCAATTTCCTGCATTTTGAATGTGGACCGAGAAAGAACCCTCCTCGCCATAATATTGTCGGATTTCGAGTAATGTATTCAGCTCAGAGTTTGAACTGGGAATCATCGCGTTTGTTTGCTGGACTGCGGAAACCTTTCATAACGAACATTACGAGCTATACATCCAACCAACACTGCTGCTGCACTTTTCCTCTTCTGGTGAAAACTGCTTTCCAAATAACCGAATCCAGGAGACCACAACTTTTTCTCCAGGAAAATAAAATAAGAGACCTGTTAAGGGGAAATTTTCTCAAACCCCATTTCGGTTTCCACTTGCATTCATACGCAGGCCATAAAATAACCCAAACGATGAAACGCATGACAAAACTATCATGGTAAATATTTAGCGTCCTCACTCTCATTTCCGTCCTTACCGCAATCATATACATACAAAATATCTCAAAAAGATTGGAAATGATAGAGTTTTTCAAACCTTCACACAATGCAGATAGTAAAAAAAAATAATAAAATGACAATGTTGGAAATTCAATTTCTTATTATCAACTTAAACGGATTCCAATTTACATCAGGGGCAAGAATGGGTATTATTTAGATGCTCTTATTTTCAAGATCTATTGATTTTGCTGAAACGAAATACGATTTCTGAGAGGTTTTTGAATTCATGTTTGAGTTATTTTTTCATGACGTGCTTTTAACCTTTGATCAGATTTGCACCATTAAAAATTCAACACTTTCGCCTCTTCTTCTCAACTAATGACTCATGCGGGCTGATTAGACCACAACTTTCAAAGTTAAATACAAACCCATCAAAGAAATCCTTTCATTTTTTATACGCTAAGCACTTCAAACAG